TAGTTCAGAGGAGAGATCAGTTGTCTATCTCTGGTCATCTCGTGTTTTGGGGGTGCACCCATATTCCGTTGTATCATCAGTATAGATATTCACAAATGGTCGGAGTATACTCTTAGGCAGATCATTCATGTAAATTAGAAAAAATAAGAGAGATTAACTGCCAAGTTCTAGTCATCTGGAGTTCTGGAAGTAAACCCATATACTGTTGTATACTCAGAATATATATTCACAAATGATTGGGATATACTCTCAGGTAGATCATCCATGTAAAGTAGAAAGAAACACGAGAGATTAACTGCCAAGGTCTGGTCATCTGGAGTTCTGGAGGTAAACCCATATACTGTTGTATACTCAGAATTTATATTCACAAATGATCGGGATATACTCTTAGGCAGATCATTTATGTAATGTAAAAAGAAGGATGGTCCCTGAAGTGACCCCTGAGGGCGCCTGCGTTGGTTGCTAGAACCCTGGCGGACTGACCGTTAAAAATTACCTTCAGGAACCTACCTGTTAGGAAGTACTTTAGAAGTGAGAAAAATCATAATGGTTATTCAAATGCTAATACAGGAAACATTCGGCATTAATTTCCCGTGAAGTTAGCGTTACTACCAGTTGAAAATTTATAAAATCTTTCTATTAAACCAAATTATCAGAAAAACAGGTTTCTTAAGTGTTATGGTCCAAGGTTAGGACCATGGAAGAACAACACGAAACACAACAGTAGAAATAACAAAGAATATATCACACGAGAAATAATAGAAGCGAAAAGGTTAGTAAGACTGTTCGACTGGTTTGGCGTGACTGCTATCAGGTCGACTTGATTCAATACCGTACCAATACCAAATCCGTACTAATACTGTTCGTCTCTCCTGAGAGGCGTAGTATATATATCGTTCGGAAGATTTCATTCCGTCGGTCTTGCTAGGCACCATGACATTAAGTCCACTAACTGTTGTCGCTCTTTCTAGTATTGGTGAGCGCAGTGTGAAAACTCAACATCTTGATTATATCATTGTGCTATTCATTTTAGTTGTTGCCACTGTTGACAATCTTCAAGTGGTCTGGATTCTGTTATTTGGTAACGATCTTTGGGATCTTGTAGCACCAGTCTAGGAGATTCGACGAAGGACCAACAGGCTTTATTCTCTGGAATCTGTTTTCATTACTGTTCTGAGATAACGGTTGTCTATAGCTGATAGAACGTGTTGAACGTCATATTTCAAATTGATATGAGAGTTTAATCTGTCAAAGCTATTTTAGTACATGACTCGAGATCTTAGGCTAAATATAGGCAATATATTGACATTAAGTTACCCTCTTGAATTGTATGCATCTCTGAATTGAGTTCCATTCAAATTTTAGTGACAATGGCTTTAAAAGTGGCATGCTCTCTACGAATACTTTTTTTTTTTACATGCCAATTTAAATAGTTTCCTTCGCTAAGTGGGCTTACAGTATTCAACAACGCTTATTCTGTCTACTGACATTTGCTATCGATTTACCATTTTGAAACCCAATATATCAGAATTCGCTATTTTCAGTTTTCCAGTTGGTGCAATACTCCGAAAAAATGTAAGCAATTTGCCGCAGAAAACTATTAGTTGAAAATGAGTTCAGTCTTCCCTAGACACTCAGCTTTTGTGTTCCGTGGGGCCGAATACGTTAATAGTGGTAAACATCTTTCTAGTAAGGGTTTTATTTTATCCATAGTGGCGTTCTGTTCTAGATCTATTCTAAACTAGATTTTGGGAATATAATGAAGTAATAACAGAAGGTTTGTGAAATTGGAAAGGCACACACGAAATAAGTGTAGTACGGCGTTATGCCACTACATTTATTGAGCAGTAACTTTTTAGAATGAGCATACTTGCACGTATAGCACATCTAATGAGACAATGGGCACTGGCTTTTAAGGCATTATTTTCATATTTCAATTCCTCGTATCTTCTACTTCTATTTGAATTCTATTTAAATACAGAATGACTTATGTCGTAAAGCAAGGATTAAATTGCTAATTTTGCAATATCTTCATAATCAGTTCAATTCTCAAATCGATTTTCACTTTCACTCTTTTTCCTTCTGTCTTTCATTCTCTCTCTATCTTTGGGCTGAAAATTTTGTAGGCTGCTTATGAAGCAGCGATGCTAGAACTGTGATATCGAGCATTCATTTATTTCAACTGCATTGTTATATATTGGGTCTCAATTCAGCACCTGAAAATTGCGTTGTGCATGAAACTGAGCCGTTCTTCTGGTGAGAAAAGAAATGTAAATTTATGAACATATATATGTGTGTGTATATAATAAATGCGAATGTCAATGTGTCACTATGTCACACTTTTTCAGCTTTACCTTAGACGCTATAGCCTAACATATTATAATATTTTGGAATCAGGCCGATTCCGTGAGCAAATATAAAAGATTCCAGAAAGGACCTGAAATTTTTAATCCTTACCGTGATTATTTTTTACGCGATCTTTTGCGACAATTTTTTTTTTATGATAACAATTTTTATAATTTCGAAATAAATTTGGGAATAATCGAAATTAATTGCGAAATTCATCGATAGTCATCCATGAAATAAAAAGAATTGTTTGTAAGTAAAGTAAGGACATACATACGTCAAATTGTCTTTAAATTAAGTGGCGACAGAAGAATTATCGTTGAACTTTGGAAAGTTAAGCTTAAATATTAATGCAAATCTTCTGTAGTTTATTGGTGTCTATCGCATCTACTCCACCCTACTTTTTGTGATGAAGGCTCAATCAAGAAAACTTCCGCAGGACTAGTTTATAGGCCGCCCGACATGGTGGCATTTAAGCACTGTATATATATATATATATATATATATATATATATATATATATATATATATATATATATATATATGTCTATATTTATGAGATGAGGTATTATGTACATTATTAACATTATTTACATTATTCGGACTATTGTCCTCATCTTTGCCGGATGGTCGTTTGGGGACCTTTTGGTACGTAGTGTCCTGGTCTCTGTATTCGGCCCTTCAAAAGTGTGGATGGTTCTGCACAAAGCCTTCACCACTATAATCATATCATATGAGCTGGTCTCTGGCTGTCGGTTCCTAGGAACTGAGCTGCTTGACACTCATACATCGAATTCGACGGTTGAGTCCACCATATATATATATATATATATATATATATATATATATATATAAAACTCCAGACGAAATAAGTATTTGAAAAACGTTTATTGTGTGTTACCTTTATTGGCTGATCATTTATTCGGTGCTGAGAGAAAAGAAAAAGATATAAAATATATTCGGGCTTTAATTTGGGGGTCTGAGGTTTTCAGAATTGACAGTGACAGAGGACTTGCAAGACAAACCAAGCCGGTTTATCCTGGCTATTAATCCTTTGTGTAACTAGATCTTTTATAAACCTAAAATGAGATCGTCTGAATCGAGAGAGACGGCTGATGAAGCTACTAGAAATGCTTCAGTCTGATGCAGTAATAATCGAGAATGTTTAATAAACTCCAGGATGTATGTTCTCTCTCTATACGTAGGGGGTCAGCCATAAGGCCTTACTTGTCAACCAGTCTAGTAGAAACACAACACTGAATTCAAAACAAAAACTAGCAAGACGAACTTGTCAAATCCTACATGCCACGGAAAACCCCATCAGTAACACCTAATTTGGTTCTATTCTCCACTTAAACATAGTTATTATATTTTTACTCTGCAGCAGCAGATAGGTCGTCATTCCACGCCCATCCGGTTTATTCTGGCCATTAACCTTTTGTATCAATGCATCTTTTATAAACTTGAAATTTGCCATTTTTTGTTTCTAGTGACAGTAATATGCCCTTAAGTTCTCAGGCCGATGAAAAACGTTACTGGACGATCAGGAGAAGTAGTGAATTCGTGCACAGTTTTTCTTACTTAATTGCTAGCAATTGCTTTCTCCATTGGATACTGTTATGTGGGAACACACCTATTCTATAGATAATAGACTCTCCCACCTATAATAAGTAGGAGTCAGTGAATCAGTCGATGTCGGACGATCGTTAGTCGAATACTAAAGTATCAGCGACCACAACTAGATTACTCTGCGTCATTACCTATTATATCAAGTTCCTAACGTTTTGTACGTCGAACCTATTTTCGGACCGACTTAGTACAAATACAAGCTTCCACTGGGAAATCACTTCACAACAGATACTCCACGCAATGTCAAACTGTGTTCAATTTGGTAAATACCGGAATGCTAGACTCACCGACCTAGTCTTACAGACCATCTCAAGTTAGTAAGCTTCCAACTGGACCACATCTTTGCAAGATTACGCAAGCTGGATAAACACCCCACTAATACAGCTTAATAACAACTCCAGTTTCATGGTCAGTGCGGCTCGTTAGCAATTTAATGGTAACGAGATTCACTAACTGACAACAAGTCGTTCGTCCATGAAGTGTGGCTTTCAATTAAGTTTTGGCCATTAGTCGTTTACTGTCTTGTGCTTCGTTATTTACGCGAAACAATACATTTGGAATAAACGTTAAGGGGAATTAAAGGATAAGGGGTATAGAAAAGCGAGGTTCAATTCTATAAGTAAATGAATTAATTTGTTCTTCTCAAATTGAATAAGAGTTGAATTAGTTGAGAACTTAATTGGGAATTTTTCGCTTAAATCTAACTAAAATGTTTTCCAGTGATCGTGATAAACATTCTGTAATTGAAGACAACGTATCAATTACAGTAATTATCTACCTCTCTCTCTCCATCTATCTATCTATCTATCTATATATATATATATATATATATATATATATATATATATATATATATATATCAGTCTGTTCATTATCTATCAATTTATCTTAATTTTATCTCTACCTACCTGTTTAATTATAAGCCTATAAAGATATTTAAATCGAGACAGATAGCAACCAACATGCCTATCTCTCATCAATGTTTGTTTCACACAATTAATATCTGATCATCTTCATATCGAGCAATGCATTTCACTAACTTGTGCGCCTTTTCTCTCTCTCTCTCTCTCTCTCTCTCTCTCTCTCTCTCTCTCTATCTATCTATCTATCTTTCTCTCTCCCGGTATATATTTATATTTATATATATACAAAGAGAGAGAGAGAGAGAAAGATATATATATATATATATATAATCGCATACATATATATATATATATTTACAATTTTCCTTTTTTCTTTATTTATTTAGATAGATAGATAGATATGGAGAGAATGAGATAGATAGATAGATAGATAGATAGATAGATAGATATGAATAGAAACAAAAGAAAAATATTCATATTATCATTTTACTGTTATACACAATCTAAAATATGCAGTTAAGCATTTTATCTAATTATTCTTTTGTTCGGATCATTTTTCTGTACATGAATTATATAGAAATTGTCCGAAAGTTCTGTATGTCCGAGCGCTTTCTGCTACACTCTTAGCTATTATCAAAGTTGATTTTATTTTACTTGATAATCACTAAAAGAACGGAAAGCACTCGGAAATACAGAACAATCGAACAATTTCTACATAAGTTATGTCCAGAAAAGAAAAAAATCATAAGAGCAAAAGAAAAATTTTAAAAAATAAAGTTAAAGTTCCGTTTCAGTTGTTTTTAACAAAACCCATATAAATAAGAGGTCGCTGCCCAAATATACATATATATATATATATATATTTATTAAAGACATATTTTTATGTTTAACGTTGTTATTTTTTATAGATACAAGTATTTAAGCAAATGCTCTGTTTATGATAAACAGTATTAAATAACATTTACCGGCCTGAATGTCCGAGAAATTTTCATAGAAAATTTTCGTTCTTTGACAGGATTCGAACCTGCATCCTATACGGAACCGTCATATACGCTGACGTGCCTTTACCGCTTGAGCTACAAAGAACCAATCGGTAGACAAGGTCGAATTTACTGGTTATAAACTCCAACTTTCCATGAATCTCGTACATTCATAACTGCTCTGGCGTATCGAATGTAAACAAATGACGTCATATATTAAGAAATGGACAAGGTCCGACAATTTATTTATTAAAGACATATTTTTATGTTTAACGTTGTTATTTTTTATAGATACAAGTATTTAAGCAAATGCTCTGTTTATGATAAACAGTATTAAATAACATTTACCGGCCTGAATGTCCGAGAAATGTTCTTTGTAGCTCAAGCGGTAAAGGCACGTCAGCGTATATGACGGTTCCGTATAGGATGCAGGTTCGAATCCTGTCAAAGAACGAAAATTTTCTATGAAAATGCGTTTGTTAATATTATCTAAATTGTCCTATCGTAAGAACAAGTTGTGTTATTATATTTTGTTCTTTATCAAAATGTTGGCGATCACGGCTTACTACAGATTCCCATTCTTTGTGTTATGGTGTCCTTCCTCTAAATAGTCTATGTTGGACTCTTCTGCCTACAATAAGATTAGTCTCCTACTAATCTTATTGTAGGCAGAAGAGTCCAACATAGAAGGCCTTGGGGAAACAGTCACCTAGATTGTTCAACTGTTGAACTCTCTGCCTCGAGCAGAAAGGAACCCAGACAAGGCTTTGCCGAAGGGCAAAGTTTCTCCGTTTTTTTAGACAAGTCCTGAACCCGTTTATACGGGTTCAAAGGGAATGTTTTTGGCCGAGCCAACGGGCTCGGAGAACCCACGGTAAACTCGGCCTTGTACCATATACGTCCCTCTTGGGGGTGCTGTTAAATATCAACAGTTAAATAGATCTCTTCAGACTGTGTTGTCGAACTCTCTGCCTTGAGCAGAGAAGAACCCGGTCGAGGCTGTGCCGAAGGGCAAAGTTTCGTCCGGGAAGGTAGACAGGCCCTGAATCTGTTTATGCGGGTTCTAAGGAAATATTTTTGGCCGAGCCTACGGGGTCGGTGAAGCCACGGTAAACTCGGCCTTGTGCCACATACATCCCTCGTGACGGGGATGTTAAATATTAACAGTTGAATAGATTGAACGCTGGACCATCCGACACACACTAACTAGTCGTGCAATACTTTTCTGTTGTATTAAACTGTTTAATATCTGATAAATCTGTACACGTGTTTTTTTTACTTCTTTAACCATTTACTTGGATCACAACACTTTGTAGCTCGAAGTAATGTTGAGCTCCTTACTATTCTTCTATCCCCCTGTTCTGCCATCCATTGATACCAACTTGTTAGGTAGGTTTCTTGCCATTTCCTACTGCTCCTCTTGTCTTTGATATGTCCTGGGAATATCATTAAAGTCATCTAATATTTTTTCGCGTTTCTTTAACGAATTACCTGAGGATTAAGAAGTTTTTAGTAAGTGTAGTTATCTAGCTCAACTGTGAATTTTTAAAAACCCCATGACTCATACATATCTAACTATATTTTAACGTAAATGATGATTTTTTTTTTATTTTATTGCGATTGATGATTCAGGAGATTAAAAAGCACTCCTTCTTCCAAATCTTCAATTTCTAGAAGCTACTTAGAGGTCCATCCTCAAAATGGATAAGTGGGTTTAACTATTGATAAAGAGCTTTGCGAATATCTTCTAGAAAGTGATTAATCAAGCCTCAATTGATCATCTGATAATGGAGAATTTATTAATAACATCATAAATGATGATTTATCGGCAAGTAAACTAAGTACATCTCAAGCAGAGTGGTCACTCATCATAAGCAATATATAAATGCATACACACACACACACACACACACACACACACACACACATATATATATATATATATATATATATATATATATATATATATATCAGCAGTTCAATATCCAAATCGCGACTGTCTGTTTCAAAATTAAATGAAATTTTCAGGCTATGATGATTGCGTTCAATCATCAAACAGACTGTCACTATTCGGTGTTCAAGTCTGTTTTCCATTGCTTATGTTTATTCTGTATAGATGCGATACCTTTAAATATATATATATATATATATATATATATATATATATTAAACCGGTATTTATGATTTTAGTTTTAGGGATTTTTGCATCAATTCACTGTGCTGAAATATTTTCGAAAATACTCTCTCGCACAATAAATGTTTTTTTTTTAATAAATAATTTTACACTAATTAATGGAATATTAAAATAACTTGAATTAAAAACATCGAGCCAGTAAACTGCTTCTGTCGGAATTAATGGTTGAATAAATACTGTGTGTTATCACCAATTATAAAAGCAGCAAGTTATGCTAAAAGCATTGTATATATTCTTTGCTTTGAGAAAGTTCTTCTCAAGAAAAGTACATCATTATTTGAGCATTAAAATTCCATTATACGATGAACTTATTCATAGAAGTTCACTATCACAAAAATAACGAATGTACAAATGCATTCTCAACTTCGAGGAAGAACATTAGACCTACAGACAGCTGTTTGCGAACTCCATCTAAAAGTAGATGGAATCATTTGTATTTGGAGTATATGTATATTTTTTTCGAAATAGGATATTTGTTTATCATTAAATAGTATTTACAGAACGAACGAAGATAAACAATCAATAACCAGGGACTGTTGCTAGCTGAATTTTGATCTGAAAATAATCTTTGGTTAACTTTACATTCCGCTTCTTCAAGGAATACGCTTAACCGGTTACGTGATCCTCTGCGAACATTCAATGAAACTCAGGTTATACAGAGGGACAGTTTTAAGGTAGACCTCCACGAAGAGAAAATTCTTTCCTGGCACGTGCGTAAGAAAGAGCCTCTTGCAACATGGCGTGCCGGACTTGTGTGTAAAGACAGGTTGTGTGACATCCGATTGCTTTCATTTTTTGGCTCAAAGAGAAGGCATATAACATATCCTTACATTTTTTTTTTATAGCTTGTTCTCTTTTTAGGAAACCAAAAAAATCCTTCAAGTTATTCCGACTTCTCCTTAGTTGTCTTTATTTCTCTGTTTAAAATGTTTAGCTAAATATTTCTATCGACGACAGATATTTCGGAGGATGGTCACATATATTTGGTAAACAGTATAATAGCATAACGTTCGATATTTATTATGTATCTTCATCAATGAATTAAATTCATTGACATTTTTTCATCATTAAACTACCGACTTACTTTTGGCACCTCTTCTTAATGAGCTTGTCTGGTTGACCATTACAGTTGAGTAGTGAGTTCACTCCTTACGGATGACATACATGTAGTATCCAACTACACCTAGTAAATAGGGGATGCTAAATATTAATACTGTAAAAACGGATATTTTAAAAGTATATATTAATATAGAGAAATATATGGAAGAGCACGGATAAGAAAAAATATTTCTTACCATATTAAAAAAAGAACCGAAAAGTTCTAAACTGTATCTATCCTCGCTCTTCAGAGTTTAATTTAGTACAATGTATATAAATATGTATCTAATTAATAACCCGTCAATTGTCGATTAACTTCGATTTGCAAGATTAGTAGGGAATTTTGTAGGAAAATTACGCAAACGGTGCAGTTTTTTTTTCTACCAATCACGGCCTCTATTCTTTTCCCAATCTATCTTGAAATCTATTTGTAAAGATGTTCTACTTCCCACATAATGCTAGTTCAGTGATTTATAGTTTTAAATGTCAGTTAGTTATGTGCCATGCGTGATACACACTTAGGCGATCATGTATCTTTCGATACATGACTGACTAGGCAGTTTTTTTTTATTTTTCCCGCAGTATGTTGTCATTTCTTTCTGCAGCAAACCAGTTGCCATCCAAGCCTATAGAACCCGGTCTACCCTGCTATTTACCCATAGCGGGGAGAAGAAGAGGATTCATACCTTTCCCAAGGGTACTGGCACGGTGAAGTAATGCGGCTCAGATTGAGGAATCGGAGAGCCGAGTTAGAATTCCAGTCAAATCCATTACATTCACTTACGTGCTAAAATCCCTGGGAAAAAGTATGAATCCTTTTATTCCCCCCCCACCAGCGAACCCAGTACGATGCTGGATATATTGACAGATTTAATCAGATTGATGGCAATGAATTATCATTACGTACCAGTGTATATCAGATGACGGCTGTTTGAAAATTTGCATATGATTGTTAATACACCCTGTACTGCGATTGCAGAACACTTAA